AAACATATAAATAAATAAATAAAATAAAATTTAAAAAATCATAAAAATTGATCCACACTGAAGATAATAAACATATTAAGTCTCTGTAAAAAATTAAAACACATTTGAAATGTGTTTGATATCAAAGTCCCTTTTTTAGATAAATGAGATTTTCACACTAAAATAATTACAATAAATAAAATATAATTAAAAGAATTATGAAAATTGGTCTGGAGTGATCCTTGTGACCAGGGCCACCCAAGAAAAATAATTGATGCTGAAATAAAGAGTTCATTTTTAAGCTAGTTTTTGATTTAAAAATAATTAAAAATCACAAAAATACAAAAATGCACCAAAATATTACAAATTATTCCCTGACCTTACAAGTTATTCCCTGACCACTTGGGACCAATTAGAATAATTTTTATAATTTTCTTGATGAAGTTGTGTGTTTTTAAATGCCTGAAATATGATTTGCTCAACTTTTCACTAAAATAAATATAAAAATATAAAATAAGTTTCTCTGAGTTTTTTGAAGTCATAGAGATCAATGAAAAATATAAAATTGATTTTATAAAATAAAATGTATTTTATATTTAATTAACAACCAAAATAAATAAATAATTATAAAAGTTAAAGTATAATTAAAAAATTCATGAACTTTAACTCAAGTGGTCCTTTGACCTAGTTAATCCTCCAACAAGTTTTCTAAGGATAGAAATTTTACGTTGATTGATTAAATGAATTAAATTTGGAAATTCCTATTTTTGAACTAAAAATAATTATAAAAAATAAAGTAAAAATTTCAAAAATATGATTTCTTCTCTGGTTTCTCAATTATCTCATGAGAGATAGGTCAGTAAATTTTCAAACCCATATAAATTAATTTAAAAAAATTTATGAAGATAGGAGCCTTAGGGGAAAAATTCTAATTTTCACCTTTTCAGCCCCTAATTAAAATTTAGGAAAAACTTAAGGGGTAATATTTTGATCTAAAGAAATATTCTAAAGTGATTGAAACATGAGGGTAAGAGGTAGAAACCAATTCTCATTCACTTTTAGAAAAGAAAGGTATAACTGTAATTATCTAAATTGTTAAATTTTAGAAGAAGAAATTAAATTGAATGATCTAAATGTTTGGGACATATATAAAGAATTTAATAACTTACTAACTCGGAATCTGAACCCAATGTTTGAGCTATAGGTTGATCTTTTAATATGAATCAAATGTTCTTAATATCCTTTTTCCAAAATTACAACCATTGTAATTATCTAAATTGTTAAATTTTAAAAGAAGAAATTAAATTGAATGATCTAAATATTTGGGACATATATCAGGAATTTAATAACTTACTAACTCAGAATCCGAACCCAATGTTTGAGCTATAGGTTGATCTTTTAATATGAATCAAATGTTCTTAATATCCTTTTTCCAAAATTACAACCACCGCTAATGACTTAAGAGCTTTGTAGTGAGCTAAGTTTAATCTAAAGTTACTTGAGGGTTAGTTGGAAGATAAACCATAATTAATCCCCTTCAAACACTACACACTCAACCTTGCTTATCCCCTCTCTCATGGGTTAATTAAGGTATAGGGCTGAGCACGCCTTAAACCTAGTGAACTCGGGGTGACCTATTCAACAACATAACTTTTGGAAATTTTGAAGAACAACTGAACTTATTATGCTTTGTTCAAGAAAATCATCCGTAAGACTTCTAGGGACCCACCAAGTTACAAATTATGGTCTCTTCTGAATTTAAATCATTAAGGCTTCATTACTACTTGGTAGTTGTTTCTTTTTACTTCGCACTTTAAATATATATGCATGATTATAAATGCTAATATTTCAGCAGAGGCAGCAAGAAGATGATAAGTATGCATTTACAGTTTATTTATCGTCATTTTATTATTGTAATTTACCACTGCTTTAATATATTATGCATGCTTGGTTGAAATAATTCTCAAAAGTGAAAAAAAATAACTTTCCAAATTAAGATAAACATTCTTTTTCAAAATTAAAATTAAACTTAACATTTTTCAAAACAACAAACAAACATAATACGTTCATTTTTGAATTTACGGGAGTCTCTCTACGGTTGCTAATGAGATCTCCCTAGTTTAAATGAACTTAACAACTTGTTTAGACTAAATAAATTCAAAAGAAAATAGTAGTACCAGAATGAGGGAACCGTGGGATCCTAACTGGTGTTGCTTTAATCAACTTTAACACCCCTCCAAAACCCTTGAATGAAAACAACAATAATAAAACTTGTTACTTAAACTGCAAAACTATAAAACCTTAAACCTTGAACCTGGAGCTGCCACTTCGACGAGGAGCTTAGGGCAAACTTTGTGGGTGGTAGGTGGCGGACAACATTGTACAACAACAAAGTCGGACGACTACATCAAACTCTTCCTTAGAATTAAATAACAAGTCATATGATTTCGAGGTAGCCCGTCTAGTACAACATAAATTCTCAACTTATCTTTAGATCTTTCCACAACCATGTTATGCAATTTAACCCTTAACTCGCTTTAGCTCTAAGGTTTTCGTTCGTTACTCAGTAAAACCTCATATCTTCCAAGCTATTTGTATGACAGTGTCACACAAGTGTAAGCCCTAACTAATAAAATTGTTAGGATAAAACATCAAATCTATTTTCTTAAAATTGAAGCCAAATTGTAGGATTATTTGAGAAGTCACTGAGGTTTCCCTCAGATCAGTGACATCTCTTACCCTTCATTCCTTTGAATTCCTGAAGATAATTATTCCAATTTGATCCATTCCCTTTTGAACTTCCAATGTCCAATCTTGAAAACCTTAAAATTTGAAATAGTTGAAAGCAAAATATTATACGACATAAACCCTCATATCTTCCAGGCTATTCGTATGACTGTGTCACGCAAGTGTAAGCCCTAAATAATAAAACTAGCATGATGAAACATCGAATAATATTTTTTCAAAATTGAAGGCAAATTGTAAGATAGTTTGATAAGTCATTGAGGTTTCCCTCGGATCAGTGATATCTTCCACCCTTCATTCTTTTGGATTCCTGAAAATAGTTGTTCCATATTGATCCATTCTCTTTTGAACTTCCAATGTCCAATCTTAAAAACCTTAAACTTTGAAATTATTGAAAGAAAAACCACTAATCTGAATTGAGAGTACTCTTAAGACTTCAGTCACAAGATGTAATTAACTATAGGGATTTGCCTCAATAGGGAACTTTGGAACCCAACTTAACCCTATATAATCTTCCATATTAGATAAGAGAACTTGTTGATCAACATAAAAAGGTTTCGTAGGCTAAAACAGATGTCATAAATTTCTTAATTTATTTAATTGAGTCTCACTATCGAGTAATGTGTCTATTCCTCAGGCTCACTATCGAGTAATGTATCTATTCCTCAGGATAGGTACATCACTTGCAGTATTGTTCTCGTTTATTTAAAACTATTACATATATGAGATTGATTGGGTCTCGTATTTTCAAAATTAAAAATTACTTTTCAAAATTATATATATTTATATATATACACATAAATTAAATATATTTTGAAACACCATGTTTGGCGACCAATACCTTTCATATTCATAACTTACATTGTCACCTTTCTTATTCATAACTACTTGATGAGGGGCATCAAATGACTTGCTATTCTTGTTATTCAGACGGTTGATAGCTTTGTTAAACCATTACACATTTGGTTGGCCAAAAGGTCTTTAGATGGAATCCCGAGTAGAGACCCTCTGATGTTAAGGCGACCTTGGGTTGTCTGATAGATGATATATCACAAAAACTAGATGGACGACTCTCCTTGAACAAGGAGCCTTCTAGAAGGATCATAAGGACATTCCTTTGGGTGCCTTTAGGCTATCTTTGTGAGTTCTGGAATCGACTTAGGGGGTTGGTCTTGAACGACTATCCATTGGATTGGGCTCCTATCACTCTTTTATTTGGATGTGCTTCTGTTTGGTCGGCTTGAAGTTTCAACCAAAGGGAACGGTGTTAGACGCTTCTGTCTGGTGACTATCTCGATAAACTGTGCATTGGTGTTCGTAAGAAAGACTCGTTGGATTTTCTCGAGATTCATGCAGATATGTTTTTAATGTAAGTATATATAGCCACAACATCTTAAAAAAAATTTCCACAACAACTTTACAAACACATTTACAAAAACTTCAACAACCCAAAAAGACCCTTCAAATCTCTGAGTTCCTGAATTTGTTGTTGCACAAATTCCCTAACATACTCCTTGTTGGTGGTGTCTCTCAGATGAGTTCTTTCTTTGTGTTTTGCTCATCTTCTTGTTAATGACATGATTCCATGTTCATTACATCGTTTAAGATGTTGAATCCAAAAACTCATGTGGAGCATGGGATGGATGAGTGAAATAGAGAGAGAGAGAGTGAGAGAGAGAGAGTGACAGAGAGAGAGAGAGAAACCAAAATAACTCATAAAAGAGGTTAGGTCCGCCCCTGACCAGAGACAGAGACAGAGAGAGAGAAACCAAATAACTCATAAAAGAGGTTAGGTCCGCCCCTGACTGTGTATAAGTGAGATTGAATAAGTTAGGACTAGCGTTGAACCGACAAATCGTGAACTGGTTTGATTTCTAAAGAGCAAATCATTCTAATAATGCCCAATGTTAATTTATTATTTTGCTTGGAGGACCAAAAAAAAATATTTGAATTATAAATATAAAAAAATATCATATTTTTATTTAGACCATTATACAAAATACTAAAAAATATATTTTATATTAAAATATTATTTATTAAATTAATAAAAATTCAATTAAAATATTATTTTATTATTACTTACGTTATATTAAGATGATTTATATATTTATTTTGTCATTTAATTCAATTTTTGAATTGTCCTATCCAACCATTCAAATTCTCTTTTTTCTTCAGATTTCATCTTTTATAATTTAAATAATTCCCACATTTTTGGCCTTATCCTTTTCTGTGAAAACGGGAACCTGTTAATTCGATTACAACCGTTGGTAAAAAAAACCAACGGTTAGAAATTTCCCCAAAAGGTTTTGAGTGATGCGGCGAGGCTGCCGTCCTCCCATTCCACGCACAATCAATCACCCCGCAGCTGCCCAACCGCAATTCAAACGCCGAAACCTCTCGCTTCCTACCTCGAACAACGCAAAGAGGAAGAAGAAGCAGTCGTCGCGGTCGCTCGATACCGATATTGTAAGATGGAACAAAAACATCACGTACCACATGCGCCATGGCCGCTGCGACGCCGCCCGCCAACTATTCGACCAGATGCCCCGCCGCACCATCGTCTCATGGAATACTATGCTCTCCGGTTACCTCTGCAATGGAAAGTACTCATCTGCTCTCCGCTTATTCGACGCCATGCCCCACCGCGACGCCATCTCCTGGAACACCATGATCAACGGCCACGTTCGCTACGGGGAACTGGGTGCCGCCCGTAGGATGTTCGATAAAATGCCGGTGAGGGACACAGTCTCCTGGAACACCATGATCTCCGCCTATGCTCAGAGTGGTCACGTCGAGCAGGCCCAAGAGATCTTTGACCGTGTCCCTGTGAAGGATTCCGTTTCATGGAACGGGATTCTTGCTGCCTACTTACAAAACGGGCATTTTGACGCTGCTCAGAGGCTCTTCGAATCGAACCCGCATTGGGATTTAGTATCTTGGAACTCCATGATTGCTGGTTATGTATCGAGGAAGAGGTTGGTGGAAGCTCGGCAGCTTTTTGATAGGTTGTTGGAGAAGGATATTGTCTCGTGGAACACAGTGATATCTGGTTACGCGCAGAATGGATATATGATAGAAGCAAGGCGTCTTTTTGATGAATCTCCATGTAAAGATGTGTTTACTTGGACGGCCATGGTTTCAGGTTATGCTCAGAATGGGATGCTAGATGAGGCTAGAACAATGTTCAATGAAATGCCTGAACGAAATATTGTATCTTGGAATGCAATAGTCGCTGCTTATGTGCAGAACAAAAAGATGGATGTGGCGGAAGAGCTCTTCAACGCAATGCCATGCAAGAATATCAGCTCATGGAACACAATGGTTACTGGTTATGCGCAGGCTGGGATGATTGAAGAAGCTCGGAGAATCTTTGATAACATGAACGATAGAGATCCTATATCCTGGTCTGCCATGATTGCTGGATATGCTCAGAGCGGTCAGAGTGAAGAAGCGCTGCACCTTTTCATAGAGATGGGAAGGAGTGGGGACAGAATAAATCGGTCGTCTTTTACTTGTGCCTTCAGTACCTGTGCAGACATTGCTGTGCTGGAATGTGGAATGCAGGTGCATGGGAGGCTGGTCAAAGCAGGCTATGGATTGGGTTGTTTTGTTGGGAACGCACTACTTTCAATGTACTTTAAATGCGGGAGCATACTTGAAGCTTACAAAGCATTTCAGGGGATTTCTCAGAAGGATGTTGTTACTTGGAACACCATGATTGTTGGTTATGCTCGGCATGGGTTTGGGGTTAAAGCATTGGAAGTGTTTGATTTGATGAGAACAACAGAAATAAAACCGGATAACGTTACTTTGGTAAGCTTTTAAACTTTTTTTCTTACCTGTGTGAGCTTTCCATACTGGTATACTTGCTTTAAATTGTTTGTCTGAGACTATGATAAAGTAAGAAATTATCGTCAAATCATTGTTTTATAATTAATAACTAGAGAGTAATTGAAATTATGGTTTTTTATTTGTCTGTTGTTCTATGGAACTTGGCTTTCCTGTCAATTTATGTGATGAATTCTTATGTAGGACTATGGATTTATAATAATCTATTAAATTGTAAGTATTATTTGGGATCATTTTCCATTTTGAATGCTATCAGATTGCAAAGATAAATAACTTTTCATATCATCAAATGCATCATACCCTATTTTGCGTCTTTTTTTGTTTTTTGTGCGTTTTCCAGGTTGGGGTGCTATCCGCATGCAGCCATGCTGGGCTGACAAACAAAGGCATTGATTTCTTCTATTCTATGCAGCAAGATTTTGGCATAAAACCAAAACCAGAGCATTACACCTGCATGATTGACCTTCTGGGTCGAGCAGGACGCTTGACAGAAGCTCAGTCTCTGATCAAAGATCTGCCCTTTGAACCGGATGCCACAATGTGGGGTGCTCTGCTTGGTGCAAGTAGAATCCATCATCATACTGAATTAGGAAGGAAAGCAGCTCAAAAGATTTTTGAAATGGAACCTGATAATGCTGGAATGTATGTCCTCCTATCAAACCTATATGCTTCTTCTGGTAGCTGGGATGAGGTAAGCAAACTTAGAGTGGTGATGCAAGATAGAGGTGTAAGAAAGGTTCCTGGCTTTAGCTGGCTTGAAGTTGATAACAAAGTTCATACTTTCTCTGTTGGGGACACTTTGCATCCCGATAAGGAGAAGATTTATGCATTCTTAGGTGAACTGGAAATGAAAATGAAGAAGGCAGGTTACGTTTCGGCAACCAATTTGGTTCTGCATGATGTGGAAGAGGAAGAGAAGGAGCAAATGTTGAGGTTTCATAGCGAGAAGCTTGCTGTTGCTTATGGCATATTGCGCATGAAGCCTGGAAGGCCAGTTCGGGTGATTAAAAACCTAAGAGTTTGTGAAGACTGCCATAATGCCATCAAATATATAGCATTAATTGAGAGCAGGTTGATTATTCTAAGGGATTCTAATCGTTTTCACCATTTTAGTGGCGGCTCATGTTCATGCAGAGATTACTGGTGATTGTCATTGTCAGTAATATACAGCTTGTTGCTTCCGGATATTTAAAATATAGACTGTGAGTTGACTTTAAATTATAGTCATGTCAATTCAACTTAGATAACTACAGCGCTACAAGTCTAATGTAAAATTTGTCCGGCGGTGGAATGTTGTTTGCTAGTCAGAGAATATTAGTGCATTACTCTTCCTATTGTTTTTGAAACTCTGCAAACTCATTGGAGAAACAAGATCAGTCGGCAGGATTTTAACTTTTTATGCTAAACCAGATTTGTCTTCTATTACGGCCCTAAAAATACTTGAGATCCCTTGAGATTAAGAATCTGGTGAAGAAACGACTTGGGCAATGGAAGTGGGAGTTAAAAGATTCTTTTTTGCATGAAACTAAAATTCTGAGAAAGAGTATAGGTGAAAGAGGCATGGAAAGATGGAGAGAGAAAATTACAAGTACGGGGGAGAAAGAAGACAGCGTGTGCAATAAAAGTTCACCTTGTTACGTTCTTGATTGAGGCACTTTCATTGAAGAAGATAATCTTACTGAGTGAAGAAGAACATTCTTGTTAGGCTCGTTCATCTGTCCACTTGCTGGTAACCCTAAAGGCTTCAACACTCTCTCATCATCTGAGTAGTAGTTTCCGGGTTATTGCATTATTGTTTCTCATTATTTATCATGGTTCTTATGACGTCATGTTTAAAGAATTATGGTGTCTTGGCTTATACTATATTTTAGAAGTAGAAATGAAAAATTTTTGTATGTAAAGCTGTGTTAGATGTGTTTTATTGTTTTTAAGAAGAAGAGAGTTTTGCCATTTCGTATGAAATTGTGTTGATAATGTGTATAACTGATGTATAAACTTTCAGCGAGTGTGCAGTTTTGCATTGGGAGTGCAAGATTTGTTTGAAATTCAGTAGTGGAGGCAGAAGAGAATCGATGACAACCTTTTCTTTCAACCTCCCTCGACCACCCTCAATTTCTTCAATAGGTGGAGCAACTTGTGGATTTTCCTCAACAGCCACACCAATGCTCGGACCATAAGTCAGGAATTTCTGGCGAGCATCCATTTTTAAAGATTTCTTCGTCACGTGATTTTTAGGATTTTCCAAAGAAGCAACTTGGTCAATTGACTCAAATTTGGTTTCAATTACTTCTTTTCTCCTTACACCCATTTTTCTTCTTCTTCTCGAGAGTGGTGGAGGCAGGAAGTTGAAAGTCTTTCAAAGCTAGAAGGCGAACGTCGATGTTCTTCATACTCGTACCACCAGCCATGATGTCACTTGAGGAACCCAAGAGACGTTGAATGAAATGGATAAAACTCAAATTTTCATTCCCTATTTATAAGGTTATATGGGCACGGAACGCAAGGGAGAGTTGATTATTAAATCAATTTCTTGGTTTATTGTGTCATTTATTACTTAATAAATTTTTATTTTTATTGCAGTTGTTGCTATCATGGAGCAGAAAAATTGGGAAACAAATATCTATACAACAAAAAGGCCAACAAAAATCTCAAAAGGATAAAAAATAGCTAGGAATGGAGTCTCAGGCAATCGAAAAGCGGGATGTGGGTTGGCCAAGTGATCTATCAACTACACAGCGAAATCGACCGACAGATGTTGACCGATGGACCTTTCACTAAAATCGATCGGATTTCTTTGATTGATCTACTGGTCCCTTCGATGGAGACAATTTGGTATATATGTTTGGGTTACAATGTATTTTTCACTCGACCGACATGTTGATCCACCTTAAAATTACCAATTTTTATGTACATTTTATGCTCAATTTTTTAGGATATTATGATTTAATGAAGATTATTTTTATGTTTTTGGTTGCAGGTATAAGAAAAAGAGTTTAAGAGTAAAAATGAGCAAAAATACATTAAAAATAAGTTAAATGGGCTAAATTGAAGAAAAGTACCATACTGGTCGAACTGGCGCCTAGACACCAAATGCAAAAATTGGGTGGCACCTAGGCCCGACATTTGCGCACCTAGGCGCCACAGTTATCTTCTAGAAGATTTATTGAATGAGGCCGAATTTTGAAGAGATGTCTGAAGCAACCCTTGGTCATTTTTGAAGCTCTATAAATACAGATTAATTCCAAGAGGCTAGGGGGTCAAATCTATAGAGTCATAGTGGGTGAGTGTGTTAAGTGTGTGAGAAGTTTTCTTTTCTTTGTGAGTCTTTGTTATTTTTGGAGTTTGTGAGTCTTGTAAGTGTTGTTGGAGTCAGAGAAGTCAGAGAACTTCAAAGGAGTGTTTGGGGGAACATGGGAAATAAGTATTTGTATATTTGTCCTTGAGTTTTGTACTTTGGATTAAAGTTTTATAAATATGTGTTGTTTTGTAATCCCCATGTTTTGTGAGTATTTTCTTTTCTTTCTCCTTGCAATATGAAGTAATTAAGTAAGTGAATTTTGATTTTGTTTAGAACTTCTTTTATTGCTAAAAATTGTCATAATGTTTTTCTGGTCCTTCGTTTACTTTACAAATTAGTCACTTGTATTGTTAAAACTTTTTGAAGAAATTGTAGACCCTAAAGGGATAAAATTTCTTGACTTGTAAGTATCATATTCTACCTTGAAAAGAGCAGTCACGATCATTTAAAGGGGGTTCAAATAGATAGAGAGACAAGATTTGATGAGCGTAGAATTGATGTTTATACAGTGACATGCTAGACTCTTTTATCAATTTGGTCTACAAATTGGAACTAAGGGTCACTGCTAGGTCCTATAAAGAGGGCACAGTGGGTAATCTAGAAGCGAGAGACTAAAACCTACCCAACACTACTATACATGTCGACACCAACTTTAGATTAGCCAATGTTCTTTGCATAATTCGAAAGAAAGTAAGTAAATAAATATACTCCAATTTATCACAATACCACATTTAAGTTTCTAAACAAATTTTGAAATCCTACACTGATTATGAATTATTAGCAAGGAGAAAGTCTCTTTTTATATATTGTCTAAGTCATTACATTTACTTTACTTGCATATAGTAGAATTTAGTAAAATTAATTTTCATCTTTAGATAGTTGCTGCAATCTTAAGTAATTTTTTCTTAAAGTCAAAATTTTTGTATTTCATTTTAATGGTTACTTGTTTTTTGCTTCCTCGTGGGATCGATACTGGGGTTTTCAAATAAAACTCTATATTACTTGAAATGATACGTATACTTGTGTAGTACCCCTAGTGAAAAAACTATTTCTTTAATTTTTATCTTATCATATTTGTTCTCATTAGCCGCTAAATATCATTTGGGTCAAGTTTTTTTGCATATTAATGAACATAAATATCTGCGTAATTGCGAGTCAGGTCACATGTCAGTTCAGTTATTTGGGCGGTTATTACAACTGTTCGCTCTCTTTTTTTATACTATATTTTTTAGACCCTCATAAGCAGGAGATCATGACATAAATGAAGGGGACATTCTCTCTTCGTTGACTTTATCTTTCTCTCCTTTCTCCTCTCAACTCTAACTCTAAAATTGTGTATATTGAAATACAATTTAGGATCCAACACTCATGTTCCTCTTTAAGAAATATTACTCAAATTTGAAGAAATATTCCTCATCCTTATTGTTAATTTTTTAAGAAAAAAATAGATCAATTTCATAGAGTTAATTTGCACTACTTTATATTTTTGATGTGATTATCAATGCATCTTCAACATGTGCTTCCAAGCCAATCTTAACTAAACTACTTAAACTTTGATTAAATTATTAATCCTATATCTTTGTGTTTTATTTTTTTTTTACTTTATATCATACCAACTTCTAAGTTTAGTGTTGATTTTAAAAGAGAAGCATAAAGCTAGTTTAAGTGTTGCTGAGATGAGAATGTTTAGGTGGATGAGTTATTTTCCATTTAGAGACAAAATGCAAAATAAATATATCTGTGGTAGGGTTGTTGTAGCTCTAGTGGTGAACAAAATTAGAGAGTCGTCGTAGATGGTTTTGTCAATTAAACGTCGGTCATCTGATGATCCGGTTAGGAAGGTAGATATTTTAGATTTGACTTTTGTTAAAAAAGGCAAAGGTAGACCTAGAAAGACTTGGGTAGACCTAGAAAGACTTACCTAGAAAGACTTGAGCATATTGTATAAAAATGATCTTAATTTATTAGAATTTAACGCAATAGAGAAAAATGAATCATGCAGTTGACCCCACTTAGTGGGATAAAGGCTTGTAGTAGTTGTTGTTGTTGTATATTATATCAATATATGTGGTGTTAGTTTTGCTTCTCTTTGACTAATCAACTACTCTCTTCGGCATTCAAAAGAGAATTTTGGTAACTTTTATTGCAATAAATTTGTACTAAAATATTACTAGATTAAACCTAAGAGTTAGGACTTAGGTGTCAATCAACACTACCAAATAAAAGTTTAAGAAAACTAATGATGATAATATTATTTTAACATCTAGAAGATGAAAGTGAAGATATATTTGTCCAAAGAGGAATTACTGAAAGCTTTGAAGGGTTGCATTTCATAAAAAGTAAAAATAAGAAGGATAAGATGGGTAAAAAGTGTTTTAGTTCAATCATCCTTCGATTGACAAACGAAGCAAAAGAGATATTACTCATCACATGAAAATAAAAATAATTCTATTCTGAAACAAATTTTCCTACACATGTCACCACTTCATATTAAAAGAAAAGAGTAAAGAAAACTACTTACGAAACATGTATAAAACACAACAGAAAACTTCGTTTAAATAAAAAAAAAGTCACTAAAAAGTGTTTACAATAATTACAAGATAATGAAAAACACAATACTTAGTTTTTTTTCTCTAAAAGAAAGATGACAATCTCTCAAACATAGTCTCTTGCCGATCCATGCTCCATTCATACTTTCTTACTCATATCTCTCAAAATCCCTCACCAATCTTTCTAGAAAATGGAGAAATCTACATCTCCATAGATTCACGCCAAACTCTCTCAATCTCACTAAAAGCTCCTCCTAAAACACACACTAATTACTTATGATGAGAGGCCCCTGCCCCCCTATTTAAAGAGACACAAAAATCCCTCCTTTCTCCAAGAGACACATCTCTTCATCAAAAAGACACTTTTCACTCCAAGAAACACATATCTTCATCCAAAAGCTTTTCCAATTGTCTAGATTCATTTAATCACTCCATGGGGCATGCAAGCCATCCAGAAGCTTCAAAAACATCTTAGAATGGCCCAGAATCGCCCAAAAGCCATCCAAAAATTTTCTCGAGCTTTATGGCGCAAGAATTAACGCTATACCACCTATTTATAGTCGTGTCTGGTGTTATTGTGCCACCCTGCAGGCATCACACCAGTTTTAATTGATTTTGGCTCTGTTTTACCCCGTTTCAGCTTCAATTTGCTCCTAGTGTTACACCTACAAAATAAATATGGACATAACTTTTTTTTAAAGTTTAATTTCATTTAAAAATATGGGATAAATATAGAGGAAATTAAGTATAGAAAGTCATATCAAAATGCGTCAGATAATAATTTTCTTCCTTACTTATTTTGGCTCCAAATTGCACCGTGTTTTCTTCATTTTCGCTAAAACTCCAGTTTTTATATTTGAAACCAAAAACATGCAAAATACATTTCTTTAAATTGCAATATCATAAAAAAAGTGCATAAAATGAACATGAAATGTTCACTAAAAACAAGTAATTTTAAGGTGGATCACTTGCTTTTTTTTCCAATCCCCAACCGTGGTGCATGATGCAATTGAGGTTGAAGCTATTGTTGCGGATAAGAAATGGACCCATGAAATGGATTCCACTACACTATTTCAGATCTTGCTTCTCAAAGAAACTCCATCCTGATACCTTTTAAGCTAGGTTAAAGGCAATTACTCTATTAAAAAACCTCTACAACTGGATTTTCAGTTTATTTACAGGGAGGGCAACAAGTCAGCTAATTTTCTTATCAGATGTTACTCTAAAAATTACCTACTTTTATATATATTTTTCAAGCTCATTTTTTATGATATTTAATGATATTGCACTTAAAGGAATGTATTTTGCATATTTTTTATTTCATGTACAAGATATGGACTTTTGAAGCAGATGAAGCAAAAATTGTGCAATATCGAGTCAAAACGAGCAAGGAATAAAATTCTGACATGACAAATTTTGATTTCTTTTTATGCTTAATCTCCTTTACATTTATCACATATTTTTTAATGAAATTACACTTTAAAGAAATGTTATTTTTCATACTCATCTTGTAGGTATAAAAATTAGAGCAAAATGGAGCTGAAACGAGGCAAAACGGAGCTAAGTGAGGCGAAATAGTGGAGTTGCCTGCAGGGTGGCGCCTATGCACTAGTCACGCCCAAAAAATGACACCTAGGTACCCGAAAATGGCGCCTAGACCCCAGAAACAGTTACAAATGGTTTTAGAGGGATTTTGGTGGTTTCAGTCTGTTTTGGAAAGTTTTGGATGGCTATGCACACCCCAATGAGCCATGCAATAAATCTAGACATTTGGAAAGGCTAGGGCTGTGTCCTTAAGGTGAAAGGGTGTGATTCTTGGAGTGAAGATGCGTGTCTCTTGAAAAAAGAAAGTTTTTGGTGTCTCTATAAAAAAGAGCGCTAGACACCATTTGAAAGAGGTGGATTTTTGGAGAGAGTTTTGGCGTGTGTAGAGAGGAGATGAAAAGGTAGATTCCCACCATGTTTGAAGAGATTAGTGAGAGATTTTGAAAGATATCTGTAAATGAATTGTATGAGCATTGCATGGATCAGCGAGAGTCTTTGTTGGAGGGATTTTTATTTTTCTTTCAGAGGGGAAAAACTAAGTATTGTGTTCTTCATTATCTTATAATTATTGTAAACATTTTCTAGTGGATTTGTTTTGATTTAATAAAGTTTTTTGTTGTGTTTAATCCATATTTTGTGAGTGGTTTTCTTTACTCTTTTCTTTTGATATGACGTAGTGACATGAGTAGGAAAATTTGTTTCATGATAGAATTTTTTTTGTTTTAATGTGATGAATAATATCTCATTTGCTTCATTGACATAACTTAAGTGACAATATATTATGTTCAAATCTGTTGTAAGTGAAACTAAGACTCGGGATAACAATAATCTCGCAACATGAGTGCACTCACATTGACCGGTTGGCTATGACAAAGTAGTTTAGACAGCAATGCAATTTTTAAGGAAATATAATTTAATGATTTGTTTCTATTAGGAACTTCTAGGTTACAGATAGTTATTAATATTATTATTATATAATTTATATTATATTAAAATAACTCTCATATTTATTATGTCATCCTCTTATTATGTAATCTTGAACTTCTCCTTCTACATAAATGTCCGTCTCGACCTTACAACCTTGCTAAATGTAATAATGCTCTCTCACCTCTATAGCATGTGCATTTCTTTCATATTTGAATGGGTTTTAAGGAGGGTGATTTTAAATTTAGAATATTTAAAATTTAACTTGGAGCCATCCAAAAATTAAAGAACTTTTAAAGTTAATTTATTCAAAAATAAATAATTTTTAATTACTCTTAAAATTCAAAGAAAATTTCCCCTTGACATAAGGATGATAAATTTAGATCTGTTCAATGACTTTTTTAAAAAAATCAAGCTCTACAAAGCTCCGATGGTGTTAAAGCGTGAAGCACTATGCTGCTTCGATAATGCATGAAAGATTTGTTAATCAAATTTGGAGCACATCATGATGAATCTGCTTGGCATAAAAAAAATACATCTATTATTAAATCTCTGTACTCTCAAATCAATTATCAACGTGACAATGGAACAAAATGTGTAGCATCTATCAATCCACGTCTCTCGTATGGTCCCTACCTCTTTAGCTCCTCAATTCATTTATTTCAAAATCATCTCATTCAACCAAAAAGAAATCTTATTTTTCTACTTTCTCAGCTCATAGTGCCGCAATACAAGAGATAATAAAGTAAAGTTGCTCCACTCATTGTTGCACTCAATGATACATGAACCCCAACATATCTATTATCTTTTATGATAACCAACATGCCTTAACTAATATTAAAAGGAGCTTCCCTCTTTAACATCAATATCTTCACGTAGAACATGAAAGGCATATGGTTCTTCCTAAGATTTGATACAAGCCTCTCATATTAACATCTCTTTCGCGATCATCTTGTGCATTGTGTTGCTTCCTCTACACTTACAGAAACGCAACTCATAAATGGAGAACAATTAATAATGGGAATATGTATGATATAAATAAGCAAAATCCATAATCCACTAGTCATTACATCAAGTTTTAATCACCAAAATGGTTTTATATAAATGTTCCCCAAGCCAAACTATAATGACACTAGGTATACGCATTTACTCTTTCAAAGGCTGCAATATCTTTTAGATATGTATACGTACCACATGCTTCTTGTATTTACATATCTAACACCTAAATTTCATTTTTTAATTATATGCCACATTCTTTAAGCATAAATATGTATTACATTTTAAAAGTTAAACCAGTGATATATTTTATGTGATATGAAATATTTAAGTGGTATGAATGTAAGAGGTTTAGTTTAGCTCTTAGATATGTAAATACATAGGAATTGGGTGGTATGCCTATCTCTTAGTATGCTATTTCTTATTTGTGAAGGAAACAAATCAATTTTAAATTGTTCAATGTGAATTACTTTTGTCAAAACAAGAGATTGTCCACTTGTCAAAAGGGCTTCCTTAATCTATATTCCCTTCACAGATTTTTGTTTTTTAAATTTCCAACACTCTCATGCCTTCCAGTCACACCTTTATCCTCAAAATCAATTCTCTCTTATGTATAAAACAATCTTTTAAAAATGCTTGTAAAGTAAAGGTGAAAGCATAACAACAAAAAGGATAACCATCATCATCATCATCACATAAATATTCATTAAATTTCTAATAATTAGTTGCATGCATCAAAATGTGATTTATTTGATGTACTTATTACACACAAACCAACTTCAATTTATGCATAATATAAAATTTGTTAATAGAGATTTTGTTTCTGTTCAAGAACGAGAACATCAGCTAGATTCCCCCATGGTTGTCTCCCTTGAGATTTTTCTTCGTGGCCTCAAAGGTCAAATATAAGTAGATCATTAATAGAACCTTTTGATTTAATTTTTTATTTTATCTTCTTCAATCATAACCTAAAATATATTCAAGAACTCTATATTGCCTTTACTAAAGCCAAATCCCTCACATATCATTTCTCCACAATCTAAAACTCCCAAGCATCAAATTTTTAATTTAATATTCATGCCCATCATAACTTTTCATTAGGCAAAAAAATAATAATAATAATAATAATAAAATAGAAAATACATAACCATGCTATCCAATCCTTTAAATAATAATAATAATAAATAAAACATATCAATTCTAAAATATAGCTATTTTAAATTGTTTTAATAAGTTAACCAAATCAAATCAAGAAAAAATTCTATGGAAAAAATTGCATTTATTCATCCACCTCTATTACAACCAAGCATTCATTTGATAATACTATGCTGTATGATATTCTAAAAATAAAATAGCTTCTCACAAATGGACAAACTGCTCCATAAAGATAACAGAATCTCTGCCCAAACATGTTCCCCCTGATCAAGAAGTCGAGAGTTTCCTCACATAATTTTCCATCTTGTGCTTATCCAAATTAAAAGTGAGACGACACAACCTTTGAAATCCAACACAAACAACCATTTTTTTTTCCTCAATGAGCAATAACTGTCAGTTCGCTGGAATTGTATAGTTTCACTAGAACTTTGTTTTACAAGATCCTAAGAACTGTACCAACTTCTTATTCTCTTAACCTATTGTTCCTGCACTTTTTTTCTCCCCCCACCCCCTTCTTTTGGTTTGTTTCCACCCATGTGGGAAAACCAATAAAATTAAATGTCTACCTTAACCAAGACCAGCAACTCCCTCCTATCAGGCATCTAGCACATCCCTGACATGCCAAACTGGGCAGCACCAACCTTCCGGTGGCTGCCGGAGGCTGCTGTGACAGCAATACCAACATAGGGAATAGGCTTCCCTTGAAGAAGGTTAGCCTCAATGCCACTGGTTCTCTCGATCTGTGCAGGTTTAGTAGCACCGACAAGAAAGAATGGAGGGGCTCTCATGTCTATTGTGATGTCTGGCGCTGCCATGCCAGGCATGCAAGGCTGGGGGTGATGTGGGTTGTTATCCTCACCTTCAGCTCCCAGCTTGGTTGAACACTTGGTGGCAGTTCTGTGAAAACAGTGAGAAGGTGGAAGGCCAGACTGCGATGGAGGCATCGAATTCCTTATCAAACGCCTGGGATCGTAGGGCTCCTTTATGCTTCCATTCTCTAACGGCATTACTGGTCCAATAACTTTTCCTGGCTTCGCTGAAAAAAAGAAAAGGGATAATGAATTGGAACAGATTTAATGCTACATGCAGAATGACCAGAATGAATAGAAAAGAGATGCTACAATTCTTGAATGTGAATCATAGGAACCGACTGTTTTATGAAAAATTTGAGGGAGATCAAATGGTACCCTAAACCATAAACCCTAAAATAATAATAACATTATATCTAAAATTATGTGTTAAATAAATATCAATTCTATTGTTATTTTGAATAAATAATATATAAAATTAGTAAATAGTTTATCAGAGTTCATTTTAATTTTTTTTTTGATTGAATGAAAGATGTAATTTACAGGTTGACTATATTTTCAAGTTGAAGTTATTAATTATAGTATCAGAATAAATGATATATGCATAGCTTTTATTTTTTGGCAGATAATTTATGGAATCTACAGTCAAATACGCCACAACTTTATATCATTTTAAATTTAATGATTTTATCTATTTTAAATCAAATGAACAATCTTCATTAAAATTTGGCTTTAACATAATGAATCATAAATTTATGCTCTTATTATGATCATCCAATTTTAGAAATCATGCATTTTATAAATCTTGCAACATGATTGCCTTTAATTTCAATTAAACCTTGAGAGTAAATGAAGCTATACACTTTATTCTTTATTAAGATGAGAATCAATGGCAACCAAATGCCGATTTGAGTCTCATCAAAAACCCTTGAAGATATGATTGCCTAAATTCACAATTTTCACACCCACTGTGGTAAGATAATTTTCTTATACAAGATGCAATTTAAAAAGTCAATAGAAAAATAAATTTTTTCTCAAAGATGAACATGCCAAAAGATGACCAACATAAACTCCTGTGATTGATAAAAGAGAAGTCTCAATAAGTATTTGATATTGATGTAGCTATTAAAATCATGAACTTTTTAAATAAAATTAAATACAAAATTTAATTTCTTCTGATGCCCATGAGAGTTAATTCACCAACCCCATGATTTTGCTAATGAGATTACTAGATGCTAGAAGCATCATTGAATAGAAACAAGGAAAATTATTGTGGTTGCATTCAAAGCATTGATATGAAATTTCATAAAATTGTTGACACATACGCACAAAACTAACATAAAGAGTTAAATGAAATTGGACGCTACTAGTGTTTCATACCAAGAGTAAAAAAAGCATGAAAACTTTATATGAGGTATGTATTGCATCTTCAAACATCACATCTTCATTAAAAGGAGTCTCTATTAGGGGACTAATATTAAATTTAAAAAAGAATTCAACTTATAATGCAGACTAGGTCGCACCATCATACAAGATTAACTTGAAAGATTAAAACACCAACTTGAGAAACAAAATGAGAATATAGAACATTTGAGACATTACTAAAAATGCCCCTTATGGATTTGTAGAACATCTTTGAATTTGAATGTCCGTGTTTAATTTTCTTTTATTTTTAAAGTTTATGTTCAATGAAAAGCAATTGCTATTCTATTCTAGAATTGATACTTAATTTTGCAATTCAATCTTCAATTCATTTACTATGAAAGAATTTTTTTTATTTAGATTGTATCACCTAATTTATATTTACTTGATATATGAAATTGTATGTAGAAATTCAAAGGTTATGAATGTTATTATTTTGAATCACTCCGTAGAAATGTAATACATGAAATACCAAATAAACAAAGAAAACCACACTGTATATAGTTTCTAATATCACTCATAAATTATAAATTTTGTAATAATAAAATATTAGTACCTACATCTTCTTGGGCTTGACATTTACAAAAGCTCATAATAAATGAACATGACATAAAATTGAATAGATAAAATTAAGTACTTTGGAAAAAAAATAACTGTTTTCCATAAGGATCAGAATTGAAAAAAGAAACATAGACATCTAAATCCAAAGATATAAAAATATTTAAAACAACTTGATAAAGTCTAGGTCGTTTAATTTTATCTTCTAATTTATTTTATGTGAATGATACTACGTGATTTTCAACATAAATTAAACTTCCTCTACATTTATTATCAATCATCTCTTGCAAAGAACTTCTGCTGATGAACAACTTGTGTATGAAAAAGATACAAATACATATCTGACATGAATTTATCGTTACTTTTTTCACTCTATACAAAATACTATTACATCTAAATTCCAGTTGACTCTTAAGTCTAGCAATCGTGCGCATGATGAGCGTGTGATCTTGTGAAATCTCATCTAAATGTCGTGCAAATCAATCAGATGATGCATTGTCTTGATAAAAGTCTTATGCCAGCGCTCAATATTCTTAATTGTGATCAATACTCTTAAATATAACAGCAATAACTTACAATACTCTATCCAGTGATGTTTGCAAAATGGAGTGATCTCATTTTTCTGTCATGGGGCTTTTAGAAAACTGGTGAGACTCAAAACAATATAAATTCTTAGATTAAAATCAACTTGAACATTATGTTGTTGGTCCACTGATCATTTCTCAATATTCATTTATATCCAAATTTATTCAAAAATTAATGTCTGGAATAGCGATCTCAATATCGAGTATTTTCTAAAACTCTTTTCTTAACATTCACATGAGTTTATGCTAATCATTTATTTTCATGATTCTCATCCTCAAAATAAATAACTATTGTTCCATCTTATCTTTAAACTGAACTGTGAACAATTTTTTTTTTTTTTTTTTACCCAAATGAATATGGGGGCCAAACACAGAGAACTACCACAGCCTTAAGGAACACTCACTGACATCACAGTTGCCGCTAATAGTCATCTCAATAAAAAAGAAGACAAAAACTTCAGCTATTAAAGATGATTATAATAATAACATATTGTTTATAATTAACAAATTTAAAGCTAACTATTAATGAAGACAGTTCATGCAACTTAAAATTGCTCAAATTATTGAATTAAAATGAAAAATCCAATATATCATTCTTGTTGTAATGATTATTGACTACGTAACAAAGAATAAGGTTTATTTATAAATCATTCCATTTAACAGTAAATTAAATAGGTTCAATTTGATAGCTCTTGACATCCCTTAAGACCAGCAATATAAAAATTAGAAATAAAATTAAATGAAGTAACATTATCATTAAAACCGGCATTTACTTAAAAATATGAAGCTGACAACACTATACTTAAATCCCGTAAGACAAGCAATATAAAAATTAGAAATAAAATTAAATGAAGTAACATTATGATTAAATCTGGCATTTACTTAAAAATATGAAGCCGACAACACTATATTTAAATCATTAATAAAACTCTTCACTTAAAAAGAAAAATGGACAATAAACTTTATCATATTAGCTAATATTTAAAAACATATAATTATAAATTTTTCTATAATATTTATTTGGAAAATTAAACTTTATATTTATTTAATACACAATTAAAAATCTAGTATTGCTATTATTTTTAACTATTTATATTAATATATTTATCTAATAAACCTATCATAATATATAGAACTTAATGTAGTATTTCCCTCCACTTCTAACGTCCTAGCTGATAGAGATTTAAAAAAAAACAAAATGCACTATATAGGCACAATTTCATCTCTTAAATTTGTTCTTGGGTCCTATAATTCAGAATCAAACATGGTGATATATCTTCTAAAACTTATCTGATGCAATTATCAAAGATATACTCAATAGCCTTGATGCAAAAGTTTTTTTTTTTAATGTCTTTTGTGACTTGAATTGGCTAAGTTGAAATGAAAAGCTAAGTCTCAAAGATAAAGATCAAACCAGCTGGGATCCTTTGAGGTGCTGGTGAAACCCTTCCCATATGTCCAGCAACCCGCTCAGCTGTTCTATGATTCCCTTGTTCCACCGGAGGTATTGTAGCTGAGTGGACAACCGTTGATCTGAAAAGGCGATTGACACTAAAATGTTATGACAAATGATCCAGGAAATCAGCTTTGTTATCCATAAAAAAATTCACGTAAAAAGCCTATCATGACCGGTGAAGTAGAAGAAAATCAAGGTTTTACAATAAGTATAATGATACATTCACCTGCAGATAATTTGTTCAATTAACGAAAAGGAAATGTTATTAAAGAAACATACATGCTATTTGCATCAATGTTATTAAAATGAAAAAAGTGACAAAATAGCCCCCTGACTATTTATATAGGATCATTTTAGTCCTTAAGATTCTATGAAAGTGTCAAATTAACGCCCATACTCATTTAATGTCTAAAATAGTCCCCAATGAGGACTATTTTAGCCCCCCATTAAAAGAGCATGGGACAAAATTAATATTTTTATTAACATATCATAAAACAAAAAGCTTTAGGATTATAAAAAAAATTAGTTGATGGCACACAAGCAAAAGAGAGAGAGAAAAGGCTAGGTGTTTTCAATCCAAAAAAAACTCTCTTTTCTCCATTAACATCTTTGTGTCTACCATCTCTTAACATTCAATTCTTCCTACATATCAACTTCCTCATAATCTGAGCCTTCGTTTTAGCCACTATATCTTTTTTTTTTTTTTTTGAAGCGGATTTAAGGGGAAAAAAATCTATATGGAACCCTGGTGATGACCATATAGGATAAACCTATGGCAAATTTCAATATAAGTTTTCGAATGAGGCAACTGTTGACAGCAAAGCAAAAAATATACATGAATGTTGAAGCACAAAGGAGTCATGTTTTTTTCTCAACGAAGATGCAACCTCATTAACAATGGAGTATAAGATGCATGTAAAATCAATAATGGTATTTGTCATTACCTGGGAAGAGAAGCATGATTCCTTTCTAGCGGAATTACCGGACCACTTTTACCACCATTCTCCTCGAGGTGAGCAAATTGCCTTCTGAATTGATCAACAGCACTGCATGATTGAGATAAAAACATCAACAATAAATACACGACTCATTCAGCTTATATAAAAAAAACATTATATAATCACAAAATTAACCTAGGATAAAGGAAATTTGTTCTCTCGGTTCCATTGATGTAATCTTTGAGAAGCTGAGGATGATATTCCAATATCTCACGATATATGAGTTCCCTAATATCTTCTTTAGTCACTCTTCGTCTCTCAAATTCAAACTCCATTTTTGTGATTGGCTGACATGCGGGCTCCCTCTCTACTTTGGACAAGCCTTTAAAATAAGGATCAGCCAATGCCTACAACCAAAAGACCATTTTAATAGTAAAATTAACTACCAAAAAACATCATGCCAGGTATCAAATGTAAATTTTAAGGGAAATTTGCATACCCAACACACAATTCTCATGTAGTTGCAAATCTCATACTTAAATTTTCATATTCACATACATAGAAGTTAGGTGTTTAAGGCTATTTAAGAGAAGGTGTGTTCCACTTTTCAAAAGTGATAATAAAGCTATTGTTGATGTGATATTAAAGTTTAAGTGCTATTTTGTTGATGTGATATTAAAGATTTAAGTGCTATTGTGTAAATATGAAAGTTTACGGTGAGATATGTAAATACATAAAAATTGTGTGCTATTTAAGTAAATGCCCCAAATTTTAATTCCATAAAAACTTTAAAAAATTAGCTTGCATTACTCAAAAGGCATATTCATACCTCCTCCGCAGTTGGCCGGTCCTTTGGATCAAATGCTAGAAGCTTTTCCAAGAGTTTGAGAGCTGAAAGATCTACATTGGGAAACTTTTGTGAAAATGGTATGGGCGACTTTTTCCTCATGCTGCTTAGATAACGCCTTGCCTTCTCATTTCGTACCTATGTTAGAAAAAAGAAATATTTAGCTTGTTAAGGTTCGAGTTATAGTAACTTTCAGCATATATTATTGCATAGAAAACATGTGCACCCTTGAAATGGTATCCAAAGAAGGTGTTCCCAGAAGATTGGTCATCAAATCCAGTTGATGAGCCACGTTTTTCCCAGGAAATAATGGCTTTCCAGTCAAAACCTCAGCAAAAATGCAGCCTATGCCCCAGATGTCAATGGCAGCTGTATACTGCAATTTCAGAATTCATCACTCTTGTCATGAAGGTTTAATTGAAAGAGAAAATAAATTGAAAATCCTGAGTTTAAAAAATTCAAGGTTGCAAGAGTTCAAAAAAATTTCTAGAAAAACATTTTTTTTGACTATAAAGTAACATACCATCATACTTTAACACAGCTTTATTTAATCAACTGCACTCATCACAATATTGCAATCAGTGCTACTACCGAGGCATGAATAAATGAAACAAAAGAGTGAAATGATGAGCTATATTTTTCAAGTTGGAAAGAGCTACATAGTTCGTATTCCCTCAAAATAGCCATGTAGTTCATATATCGCTTTCGTGATAAAATTCTTGATAAAAAAATTTTCTTTCAGGTTTTATGAACCAAAAAATTACCTTGGAAAAGAATGAGCCACACAGCTCAGGTGCCCTATACCACCTTGTAGCAACATAATCCTGCACATCATATAATTAAATGATAATTAAAGCTCAAACCTGAAAATTTAAAAAAAAAGGAACAAAAAATCAAGGAAACTAAGAACTAATAACATACCGTCCAGAATATTGTTGTGGGGTTATCATTGAATGCAACTCTCGCTAATCCAAAGTCACATATTTTAAGTTTGCAGTTTGCATTAGCTAGTATGTTCTTCGGCTTTAAATCTCGATGATAAACATTAGCTGCATAAGAATTTTTTTGAATTAAATATGAACATTAAGATTGAAAAGTATGGCCATAACCATGATGGTCTCCATATATATTTATAATGAGGCAGATTGTACTAAAAAAAAACTACAAAATAACAAAATTTAAATTCAATAAAAGGAAATGTATATCAATTTAATAACCCAAAAAAAAAAAAACAAAGGATGCTGTCAATGGTTATCAATTTTATCGTACGTGCTTCTTTAAAATCTTAAAGGAAAAATGCATCATTACTCAAATCATCAATATCTTCTTTAAAGACAACTGATGATGAATGCTAGTATCATCAAACTGTTATGCAAACAAGTGAATGTGAAACACTGAATTTTCTTGGAAGATTACAATACATACCACTCAATTTTTATGCATTTGGATATCTAACATCTAAACTTCAATTTTTACATACATACTTACCAATGCATGAAATGGAGTATTTCACTTTTTAAATCCTAAAATGGTGGCATTTTTTATGTGATATGAAAGATTGGGTGGTATAAATCTAAAAAACAAATTTTAGGTGTTAGATATTTAAATATATAGGAATTGGGTGGTATGTATTTAAATGCCCAAACCTCTGACTGAAACAAGTGTGCAAAAAGCCCATCAGATAACTAAATAATGAACACGAGAGAGGATTGCAAGTTTTGTCAAATTAATCGTTTCAATTCAACTATCAGTTTATTGTTTTGTGCGAATAATAACAAGTAACTCAATCGTTAAATGCCTTTACATATTTCTTTCAATCTAAAGGAAGCCTTTTTTTTTTTTTTTTTTTTTTTTTTGAGCCAGCAGGCACAAATAGGCAAACTAAATAGAATTTTAAGACAAAAGAAAAAAAATATTACAACAGCGACCTCTCTCATTGCTCAAATTCAACAAACTTACAAAACAAAAGTTGAAAAGGACAAACCTGTATGGATATATTTCAAGGCACGCAGGAGCTGATAAAGAAAGAACTGGTAATGCTCTTTTGTCAAATCATCATTAGCCTTGATGACTTGATGAAGATCTGACTCCATAAGCTCAAAAACAACATAAATATCTTTGAAATCTCTTCTTGAAGGGGGTAGCATGATGTGCTTTATCTCTACAATGTCAGGATGTCTAAGAAGCCTAAGAAGCTTGATCTCACGGAGAATTCGGGCTGCATCTGAGATGTGCTCAAAAATATCATGTATCTTCTTGATAGCCACTTTTCCTCCTGTATGAGTGTCTATGGCTGAGCAAACAACTCCGTAGCTTCCTTTCCCAACAACCTCCTGAATTTTGTATCTGTTAACGTCACCATACTCGGTGAAAAATTCCATCTCCGGTGTATTCTGCAAAATATACAAATTCAGTGGCTTATTTTAGGTTGGCGTACAGTAATACGAAGCAAACTGAGGAACACACCCAAAAAATCATTATAGAGCGCACGAACATGATAAATAGATAGAGCAAACCGTAAAGATCAAGCCTGACAATCCAAATCAATGGAAGCGGAAATTTTCTAAATTGAGGGGTAAAAATGACCAATAAACACCTAAACTAGCCTTTTAGAAGGATTGGTAGCAAATTTTTAGCAGTCATTTGTCCATGCAAAGCAGTTTCGATCCTTGTCAATGTTCCATTTAGATCGAGAAGCTTTGGAAAATCGGAGATATTAAGAAAGGTTGAAAAACACCCAAGAAAGCAACAAGAGCGAGATCAAATTCAAAGAAGAGCTTGCAGGTAACTCTGACGAGAAACAAACCAATATTCAACTGATCATGTTTCCCAAAGATCCAATCAGACCAAATTGCTTACCACCACTAACAGATCCCAGATAAAAGACATAGTAAATGGATAAAAAGGTACGGATAAAAAACACCGCACCTTCTTCCGCTGATCGGGCTGCATCAGGGCAGATAACTGATCTCTAAAGCCTCAAAAACACCTTCTTTGTGGCCCCTAAAATTAAAAATTCCCTCTTTCAAAATAACACTTGCAGATCTGAAGCGAACCCAACAAAAATCGGACAGATCTACGAAAAAATCAACCGCATTTGCCCCATCTTCCCCTGCTCCGGATCACAAACTCGCTGTCCCTCCCTACGCTCCTCGAAACCTCCGCGGAGAATAATAAAGCTCTCAGATCTCTCATGCAGTTCCCCGACGTACCAGCTACAATAAAACCACTTGCGAGAGTGCCAGTGGTCAAGATCATAGAGAGGAGGAGAATCTCCCAAGCGTCCAGTTGGCCTCCTGCATCGCCGCTTCCACAGTTCACAAGCTCCGGGGCAAACAAAGCTAATCCACCTCCTCGCAGGCCGGTTCCCCCGGATATCCAGCGGGATCCTCGACGAGAAAACCGCACGCGTCAGAAGAAGCGCGCGAGGAGGATCTATTAAAATCCTAACCTTCTCTCAGGAGTCAGGAGGCAGCGAAATGAATGACGAACGGGGAAAGCCTAAAAAGGGGAAGGAAAGATAGAGGAGCTCATCCCGTGAATCTAGGGCCTTCCTTTTATACGGTAACGGTCCCGGACGCTCACCTCCACCTGTCGACTTCAGTTTTCCTTGCGGTGTAGCTCACCCGGTCGTTATTAATTTTATTTTCTTAACAATCATACATAGGGATTGTGGATTTTTATGCATTATAAATTTTAATAAATAAGCTTCTGTTTTTGTTATTCCTTTAATAACATCATGGGAAGGAATTAGAATGATCAACCTTAGAGAAAGCCGTTTTTGTTATTCCATTTGGGAAGGAATTAGAATGATCAACCTTAGAGAAAGCTATACTTTAATATTTATAAGTTTGATTAAGTTATTCATTCAGCTATAAATATCTTCAAGCATTACTTTAATTAATTTTAAATTATTTAAGAGTTTATAATTTATCATTGTTGTGTGCTAGAAAATTTATGACGGTAGAGTGATAGTTTAATATATTAGCATTACACGATAATCCAACACACATAATAGTAAAACAACAAGAAAAGACATCTTAATTTTTACTTGAAAACCCGAATTTTCTACAAAAATACACCATTTCTTCTCATAATTGGGAGAACGGGTTTATTGTTCTATACTAGATACAACATTCATCACAATAAATAAACAAAAAAAATGTGTCAGGAACAATCAAAGTATTCTGACTACAATTGTAGTAAGAAGTTGTCGTCGGGTGTCAGTGATCAAAGGCGACAAGTGGTTATTGTGGTTGGTTGTTGCGGAGGCCATAAGCTATCATCGGGACATCAATACATGTGTTATATGTTACAGTCATTTTTGTTTTATGATATTTGTAAGCAGAAGTCGTTGGTAATAAGAGGCCAGTGGCGGCAAGTATTAATGACCATTGCTGGTCAACAGTAGTGACAGATGGTGGTCGACGGTGTCATCGAGTCTTTAATCGAGAACAAACCCTGGAATTTCTCTTCTTCTCTACTATCTCAAGTAAAGAGAAGATGTATATTTATAGTCTCTGGGTGGGTAAGGCAATTTTAGTCTTTTTAGCAAATAATTGCGCTAACCACCCAATCAAATGATTCATATTGATCGCTACTGATTATAAGAGCTTTTAATAATTTAGGTGTCATAATGATCTTAAAATTGATTGAACTTAGGCTCGTTGGATTTCAATCATCAGAACACTCAATAATGATTTCAAGCTCATAATGACCTTGGGATAAAGCAGCTAGGCAGGTCAGGTCGGCGATCTTGAGTCGGTGAAGCGGTTGAGCAGGCAAATTGAGTCATCAAAGGAGAGGCACTATTTACATTTGACTGCATGCATGCTCGTGTGCTTGGGCATGAGGTACGTTCGTGTGCATGCCTGCGATCATTTTGCGAAGAAAATTTTTAAATTTTGTGAATGTTCTTACCCATTTTTTTTCCAATTTTTTACCTTGGTTGAAGTGTCGCCTTAGTTGTTGTTGCCTCCCTTAACATAGAATGTTGTTGCCTCCCCTAACATAGATTGTTGTTGCCTTCCTCGGCATAGTTTGTTGTTACCTACCCCAACGTATGTAGTTGTTGTCTCTCATGTTGTATATTATTTTGCCTTCTTCAATGTAGGTTTTTGTTGCTATAGCCGAAGCATGTTATTGTTACTTCGAAGGAGAGATAATTTAACCTCGAAGGAGAGATAATTTGTGCTTAATTTTCCTTCATGATTCCCCCAAATGCTAAAAATAATATCAAAACCCAAATGAAGGGGTATCGACACTAACTAAAAATGCTTTGATAATGTTTTGAAAAATGTTTCACTTTTCAAATGACATGGTGTTTAAGATGCTAAATCCATTTGATTGAGCATGCTTCCCTCCTCCTAGATGTATTAAAATGTATAAGGTGAATTTGTGCATTAGCTTGTTGTTTCCACCAATACTCGAGTTGATGGATGTTCTATAGGCTATTAGAATTAGGATTTTACATTTCTCTTGTTGGACCATGATGATCATTGTCAGGTTGATTTCCTTCTTCAAAAAATATAAGGCCAAGTTAACAACAATGATCTCAGCCAGTATCGGTAGGTTCATTAGTGACGTGCACGATCATATATCTTCACATGAAGGATCCAATAAAGAACTCATATGTCAATTTTTTTCTTTGTAAAGAATGACTAGGGATTTCGTACAGTCAGAAGAAACTACTATAGTTCCCCATTCTTTTTCAGATCACAGTGGATGACATATTGTAGATGCTTGTTTTTCAGGACATTAAAGATATGCAATTTAAGAAAAAAACATATCAATGAAATTGTGAATGAAGAGTTTTTTTTTCACAATAGGTGTTTCCATTCATCCTAGAAGATCTCATGCCAGGATTCTAAATAAAATGAGAAAAAGCATTCTAAACTAGCTCTTACCACCCCTTCGAAGCAGTCCCTAGGATAGTGATTAGCTGACAAATATATGTCTTCTTTACATATGTCATTTTAAATTATTTTATATTTATTTCTTCTATCTGATATAAAATTATTTGTTTCTGATGATAAAAAAGATGGACCTTTATGTGGGGCTTAATATTTCCTTAAAAGAGTGAAATTTTGAATTTATTAAATCCAAATTATATCAATATAAAAATAAATAGAGATATGATTCTAAGGTTAAGGAAGTTGTGTCCTTAGAATACTAATTAATAAAGTGGAACATAATTTTTTACCCTGACAACTTCCCTCTCAATGTAGTGTTAGGATCCAAAAAATTCTAGAGAGGAATCGGTGGATGTATGGACTAATTTTAGCCGAAGCACCAAGAGCTTGAAAGATTTAAGAGTTAAGGTGTTTGTCCTTGAAGAGGAGAATAAAAGCTTGAAGTTTGAGGGAGGAAGTTGATATTGTTAGAGTTGGAATAAAGGTCTTGCAGGAGCACATCCCTGATGAGGAGGAGGACAATGTTGAAGTGGATTAGTGTTTTATTACTACAGGCTTATTGTAGCCTTTGTACGTTTTGATAGTGTGCTTATTTTAGCGGCTTTCATTTGTTTGATATAATATTTGTATTTATGATAGCTTGTTTATCCAAAATATTCTTTTTGCTTGTTGTACTTTTTACACTTTCGGATATTGCATATCTTTATATGTGGAGTCACATATTTTTGTTCATATTTTACTTTTTGAATGTCACTTCATTCCTTAAAGTTGCAATAATCTCTGGTTGGTTAAGCTAGTTGATTATTATTATATTTTGGATATAAGTTGACAAAATTAGATGACATTTATTAAGAATGTAAGAATTATCCTAGGTTACCATCTCGGTAGCATTTAACATTGTTAAAATTTTATGAACAAAGTTGAATGAAATTCATTTAAGATGTTTAGCCTATCTTAATTTGTTAGTCGGAATGTCCACTTGACATTTATAACATGTACTAAACAAATCAAATGAAATTCACCAAGAATTTTTTACCTATACTAGGCAATTTAGTCAGAGCTTTTACTTGACAATCATGACATATGTTGGAGGAGATCAAATCAAGCCCCCCTGAGACTTATTAACCCCAAATTTGGTGCAAGAAAAATTATGTATTTCTCAAGTATGTGCATAGGTCGAAATGGACCGTACTTTCTCTTAAAAATATAGTTTCAGCCATATTCAATAACGATGTTTGGAAACTTTCTTTACTGTTGCTTTTTGAATTATTGCCCCTCTAATGGGCGTGTTATTCAAGTGAGCTCATAAAACATTCATAATTTGACCTGAGAATGCAATCATAATTGTATTCAAATAAAGTTTTATATTAACATGAGAGAACACGACTTCATTACTCAAGCAATACAGAGTACATCAAGTATTAGAAGGAAATCAAAGCGAATACATAGATATAAAGTGATAATTGAACAATAAAAAATATAAATAATAACTATAGTACATGAATGCATTGATTACTAATAGTATTTGCAAAGATTTTATGAGTTCCATGCTTAAGAAAGGGTCTTTCATTATGTTATTTCAACTTGATTTCTTTGGGCTTGGTCATAGTTGTAACCACAGAATGCCCCTCCCAAAGGGTTTTAAGTTTGTTGCATTGAGGCCTTTTTTCTAGTGGCCTCAAGAATTTGTAAAACCAAGTCCCCAATTGAGGTATATTGAGGTTCTACTCTTTTGTTAGAGTAGTAAGCTACCATCTGGTTATATGAAGCAAATTTGAGGAGAGCCATCTCTTGAGATTTTGAAAGAAGTTAAATTTATGTTAATATTTTTCATCATTCACATCTGAATTAAAATCTTAAACTCAAAGGCTCAGGATTCTAATGTCCACTAGGTTAGGTACTTTTGTGCCAAAAAATAGATTCGATGTTATTTCCCCTTTAGAGTACATGATGTGGATCAATAATCCTAGAGAATTCCAGAAAGTTCTTCAGCCCATTGCCTCCCAACCTTTCTGGGCTAGCTTCTAGGCCCTTAGGAATGATATAGTTGGTGACCTCAGTTTGACTATTCATTTACGAATAAGTTATCAATGTATGTTGCAGTTGGATGAGGAGATCCTTACATAAAGATGCAAATACCATTTTGTTTAATTTAGTTTCATTGCCAATGATCATTTTTAAAAGAATGCCAAAGCGACATATCATATTCTTTCAAGCAAACTACCAGGCATTTTCTTCCATAATTTTGCAACGAGTTTTGCTTCTACACATTTAGTAAACTAATATGTGACCAAACTTACAAACTTTTTTCGCTTAAAAAAGGTATTTTAATAAATATTCCTTTCTAGCAAAACTGCCAAGGGTTTTGGAGAGATGTATAATTTATCAATATGTGTGTGAGATTAGAATGAAATTGGCAAGTATCATATTTCCTGGTGATACACAAAAATAATATACTATTTTAAGTACCATTTTTATGCCTATTTTTGGTGATAATGCACTTTAAAGAAAGGCATTTTTGTGTTTTTGTTGTAGGTATATCATTTTTAGGCATTTGAAGAAAAAATGGCAAAAGGAGCGAAATTTGGAGCAAAAACAGCTGGGGTTTGGCGCATGATGC